TCCTGCCCTTCCTTCCTTCACAGCCCTCAGGGAATGGGCAGAAATGCACACAGAGGCCCCCTTTCGTGTCTTGACGGTGCTTTATTGTCCACACTTGGTCTCCATGAGGCCAACATCCCTTCCCCTGTCCCCTCCCCCCAGTTCCTGGGCCCTGTGCTTCTCCGCCTCCTGGGTCCACTCCCTAGGTGGAGGCCGAGGCAGCTGGGGGGGGCCCTGAGGCCGCGCTGTCAGCCCCAGGCGCAGGCTTCTCCACAGGATCAGGCTGGGGCTCAGGGTTGGGCTGCAGCTCAGGCTCGGCTTTGGGCTTCAGGTCGCCGCTGTCCCTCTGCCTCATCCCCCTTTGGCACAGCACTATCGCCATGCGCTTGCGGTGTCTGTTGGGGCTGTTTTCCAGCACGGAGATCACCCGGTCGATGATCTTCTGCTTCTGCAGGACAGGAGAGGCCTGGTCAGGGAGGCTGTGCTGGGCTAGGGGCCGCCCTGCCCGGCCCTGGGGGGAGGAGGAGGAAGGGCTGGGACCAGGAGGACAGGGCCGGGCCGGGGACAGGGACAGGGACAAGAGCAGGACACAGCCCGGGTCCTCTCACCTTCTGGGCCTCTGCGTGCTGGGCCTCGGCCTGGTCCGCGCTGTCCTCCGCCCTCTTCATCTCGGAGCTCCTCTGCTCCTCTTCCACCTGCACCTTGGGCTTCCCGATGGTGATCCAAGTGACAGCCCACTTGCCATGCATTCCACAGTCTTCCTCCTCCATGGCTAAGCTTCGGACCTCTGGGCCAGCCCCGCTTCCTCTTCTGAACCCTGCTGCAACTCTGGGAGCCGCACCCTACTTTGTTACCTCACCCAGGCTCTGCGCCAGCCAATGGGAGCCCTGAGGAGGCTCTGACGTCACAAACCCCTACCCTGACAACTGGGGTGGGGGTGGGCAGACACTACCATGTGCTCCAAACTCACCTGCAGCCCTTTCTCAGCTTCCGGGGTTCAAGTCTCACTGCACACATGAGAGCTCCGAGCCACCCCTATTACTTGGGGAGGGGGGTGTTAGTGTTCAACAGTAGAGTTTTACTTTTGCGAAGTGAAAGAGTTCCAGAGAGTGTTACACCACAGTGTAGTTCCAGGTAATGTGACTGAACTGTACAGGTAAAAATGGTTAAGAGTAAGTTTCGTATTACATGTTTTTTACCACAATAAAGAGTTGCAGGTGGCCTCACCCTAGGGTGTGTTGTTCCTAGTAGGTGTCCTGGAGTTTGTGGGTGGTAATACCATAGCTGTTCCGTGTCGTTGGCTGCTGGGCTGGCACTGAGGGCACAGGAGGTTGCCTCTTGCACCAGGCTTCACTCAGGCAGCATTGGCACTGGGAGATGCTAGGAGGAGTAAGAACTGGGGCATTGTGGGAGAAGAACCACAAGGGAGCGTTGAAGGGAGGCCTTCCACTGGTTAGAGTCCCTGCCCATCCTGTCTGGGGTGAGGATGCTCTGGGGGAGCCTGGTGAGAGCCAGCATCTCCTGGTAGGCTGAGCTGCTGCCAGTTGTTCACCTCCCCCATTGGCAGGAAGAAGATGGGAGGACTGTGAAGACACATTGAGGCCTCAGGCACCTTCACCTCCATCACGCCATGCCACGCTGATGTGCCCCGTAGCTACAGTGGCTGGTGTGTCACTTCTACGTCCAGTCCCCTGGCAGCTTTCTCTTTGGCCGCAATCTAGCCATACAGGGATGGAGAGTCTGAATATTGGTGTTCCCCATTTTAACCAGGATGGCCAGGCATGACACCCAAGGTCTACACGCTTGAGCTGTGCACATTTTGATGTCTCCAGGGTCAGCTGGGGAGATGTGCAAGTGTTCTTTTCTTTTCCTTACTGATTGCATGGGTGGTATTTAAACCATGATATATTTTATAGGGATGTTTGTGTTTCAGCTTGAGAACCTACCTGCCATTTAAATCATGCTTTGCTTTTTTTAAGTAGGGGAAATGTGGCCTGGTTTCCACATAATCCACTTAGGCTACACTTTTATAAAACATTCCAATTATAAATTGCAATTTTCTGTGTTCTCCATGTTTCCTGTAATGCTATAGTAGCTTTAAAAAGGGAGGAAAGAAAACTATTATTTTAAAAGTAAACAGTAAAAATATCTAGGCTAACTGAGCTTTTGGACTTCTCTCTTTCAAACAAATCTTACATAAAAGGGCTTAGAAAGCATGCTACCTAAATAGCTTGGAGCTTTGTAAATGGAGCGGCCTCCCTTTGTACTCAGCTGCTAGCTCCCCGTGTAATAATCGGGAGTAGGATAATTTGTCACCGGACCGCAGAAAGGAATGACCCTAGACTGGTTCGCAGTCCTAATTTGGGCATACACAAATTGGAACAATCGTAGCAAAGTCATTTGTAAATCTGCCTATACAGTGATTTAGGGTCTGCGTATGTTTTCATAATTGCCTTTTGTGTGTGTGGGAGGGGGGTGATACTGGGGATTGAACCCAGGATCTTTGCACTGCACTACATTCCCAGCTTTTTTTTTTTTTTTTTTAAATTTATTTTGAGGCAAGGTCTTACTAAATTGCTCTGGCTGGACTTGAAGGTAACTGTCTTTCTGCTGCAGCCTCGCAGATTGCTGGGATTACCTGTGCGCCACCACCGTACCATGCCTGGCTCATAATTGTTTCATTTTTATCTTCCTGGCTGTCCTAGGTGTAGACAGCCAATCCTCATCACCATTTTTGGGGTGACCAAAATAAGACTAAGAAAAATGAAGTCACTTTTTCCAAGTTGTGTAGAGGCAGGCCCTACGTACCAGATCTGTCTTCATCTTTCTGAAACCGCCCTTGACACGCAGTCAGCCCCAGTCCCCATGATCTGATTATTCCTTCCCAGTGCCACCAGGATGCCTAGTGTTGTGCTTGCTTCATGGAATCCTCATTGGTCAGGATCTGCTTAGAAGACATCCCCAGGGAGATGGAGCAAGGACTGCTTCCTACCAGTCAGGATGTGGCAAGCGGGCCAGGTCCCTCCCTGCCTGCTTCCCCATTCACTGTCTCCTCCTACAAGAACAAGTCTGAGCAGTTGCCACGGAGACAGCATGGCTTGCAAAATAGAAAGCAGTTACTCTGTGGTTCTTTATAAAAAAATGTACTTGCCCCAGTGTAGGGAACTATTAGCCAGGCACAGAGGATTGCTTGAGGCCAGGAGTTCAGGCCTTGCGTGGGCAACATAGTAAGACCTCGTCGCTTAAAAAAACCTTCACTTTACCCCAAAGTAAGGAATTTCAGTGGTGCCTCGGTTCACGAACTTAATTCATTCCACAATCCTAGGGAAGATGGCCACTGGGGGGGGTCATTGGGGGTCACCCATGTGGAGTTCGTGAACGGAAGCAGAAGTTTGCCAAACGTTTCTGTTTGCAAACTGAAGGCAGACCCCTCCCTGCCTCATCCCCAACCGTGTGGCTGTGGCCCTCTGGAAATTTGCACCCCGGGGTGTGGATGCAGCTCACTAGGAGGCTGGCTGGTGTCTGTGGGACTCTCTGGAAAGCTGCCGGAAGGATTGGTGCTAAACGCACTGGGAGTCTGTCCAGCCAGGCACCAGCGCAACTCGCTAGGAAGCCATCCTTGGTGCTCTGGCCACTGATGTGTTCCTGGAGGGCAGGGAGAGGAGAGCATCTCGGAATTAGGAAGCAAAGCCCTTTCTCCCTTCCATGTCCCCCCAGCGCCCTCTGCTGATAGCACTGACCAGGGTCGGCCACAGCCTCAGGAGAAAAGTTAGGGTCAGGGTCCAGTAGTACCACAGTGTGGGCAAGGGAGGCCCCTGAGACCTGAATCACAGCTTTGGAGGGACCAGGGGTGTAGTTCCAGGTTCCTGCCTTCCTCGGGTAGCTGCTTAGACCTACAGGCAGGGATTGCACCTTTCTGTGTCATTCCTGGATTTGGGGTGAGGTGGTACTTTGCTAGCAGGCAGCATTGGAGTAGGTTGTTTGCAAATCTGCTTTCTTTCCAGGACTGTGACTTCCTCCAGCATACAGTGCCATTCAAGGAATGCTTACTGAACATTTCTCTTCTCAAGCAGGCTTTTGGGTGGTTCTTACCCTTGCTGTCTGGACCGAGGGCTGTCCAGATGGCCGGGGCTTTGCCACTCACCCTATCAGAATGGCAGCACACAGTGCTGCCTGCCTTGCTGGGGCGAATTGCAGTCCTGTAGCTTCTCACGATTGCTTGCAAGCCGTGAGCTCCTTTCTGGTTCTGTATTCTCAGGCTGCGGTCCGGTTGACTCCTCCCTGCAGTTTGGCGACCACCTGTCACCTTAGCTGATCATCAAGCCATGGCCTCCCTTTTAGGCATGTTGTTGCCCTCTCTCTGCCACCAGCCAGCTCTGTCCCCCTGTCCAGGCCACTTATGCCTTTCTGTGTTTTGGGGGGCTCATGTGACTCAACCCTCATTTTAGGGCGGGATGGCAAACGCGGGGCCTGGTGCACGTGAAGAACATTTGAAATTCCATCCCTGAGCTGCACCCTGCCCCTGAACCTTCATGGTCTCAAGCTCGGGACTACATACTCACCTGTTCCAAAACATCCACAGTGAGCTTTTGGCTAAACTTGTTCTTTAGGTATTATTTTGTCATTTTTCTTGCTTTTTTGGTCACTCATGAGGAATGGATTTTTTTTTCCTTTCCATAATCAAGATTTTACTGGTTGCATTGGGAGTAGTGCCTAGGATGCACTGGTGACAGAACTTTTTCAGTTTTTGATACCGGGGATCGAACTCGGGACCTTGTGCTTGCGAGGCAGGCGGCGGCACCACTGAGCTAAATCTCCAGCCCTCAGAATTCTTGACTAGCAGATGCAAGGCCCTAGGTTGGGCTCTGTGTACTGGAAAAAAAAAAAAAAGAAAGAAAGAAAGTGACTCTGAAAAGATGTTATTGGGTTTTTTGAGGATCAGCATGGACATTCGAATTTGTACACCATTTTAATACCATGTAGCTGTGATTCTTTTCTAAGCAGTTATTCTAGTGACTTTCCAGCTTAAAATCTGGAGACAGATTTGCCCAAAGGGGATACCAGGTAGCAGTTTCTTCAGATGTTTATAGGCTGTTATGTCATAAGCCTCAGTAATTCACAATTTATTATCGTAAACACCGCAGGATCTCATTTTTCCATTTTTCTTTCTTTCTCTCCACCTCTCTGTCCTATCTCTCCTCCCTCCCCCACCCCTCCCTTCCATTTGCCAAGCTATGGTTGAGCCATACCCTCAGCCCCAAACTCAGATTTTCAATTTTCCAAGGCACATTTACTAAACAGTTAGGAAAAAGCCTCTGGAGAGCAAAAGAAACAACCAACAGAGTGAAAAGAAAATCTACAGAATTGGAAAAAAAATCTTTGCTAGTGATTCCTCAGACAGAGGACTCATATCTAGAATCTATAAAGAACTCAAAAAAAACTAGGCCCCCAAAATAAGAGACCCACTCAAAAAATGGGCAAGTGAAATGAATAGGTAGGTACTTCACAGAAGGAGTACAAATGGTGAATAAGTACATGAAGAAATGCTGAACAATGCTGGCCATTAGAGAAATGCAAATTAAAACAACATTGCAATTTCATTGTACCCCAGAAAGAACGATTATCTTCAAAAAATCAAATAATAACATGCTGGTGAGGCTGCAGTGGCGGGGGGTGTGTGTCCTTCTACACTATTAAACTAGTAGTCATTTACTGTGTAAACTAGTACAACAACTATGAAAATGAGTGTGACAATTCCTAAAAAAAACTGAAACTAGAAATTCTGTTTGATCGAGCTGTTCCCCTGCTAGGTACCTGCCCAAAACAAAGACAGCATCACA